TCTCTCTCTCTCTCTCTCTCTCTCTCTTTCTTTCTTTCTTTCTTTCTTTCTTCTTATCTCTCTCTCTCTGATAAGAACATGTTTTATGCAAAAATGCTTTTAAATTAGCAATGTTTTGAATTAGAACTGGACCATTTTGACATGTTTTACTCACAAATACACAAGCTCCTGGAGAGTGGGTTTGTTTTTTTAAACAAACATGTATTGAGGACCCATTAAGTACCAAGATTGATTAGGCACCAGAGGTAGGGTCTAGAAAGGGATAGAATATAAAGAAGACGTGGGCTCTACTTCTTGGAAATGTAGGATCTAGAGCAGGATTTTGAAAATGGCATGGACAGTTCCCTTGGAATGGTACTGGTCATCCCTGAATTCTATGTATGTTCAATTTTCCTCAGATTTTTCAAAAAAGCCTCTACCACATAAATGTTAAGAATTGTAACTACATTTTTGTGTGTTTCTCTGAATACTCTGAAACTTTTCCACACCTCTTTGTCGAGGATTGTCTCTTGTCCCAACCAATGAAGAAACACAGAGAAACAAGAGGCCTCTTTTAATCTTTATTTTCCTGAGACTTTGAATTTCAAAGAGCTGCTTTGCTCCGTGCACTGATATCGCCTTTACCCTTCTCTCTGCCAAACAGCAATTTGTAGAATGTTCCAGTTGGAAGTCATCTCATAGACCAAGTGATCCACATACTTTGTTATATTAAAAAACAAAACAAAATGTTTCAGAACATTTAGTAATGCCAGAGAGCACATGCAGCTAGGACTATAACTGCTTTTTTTCTAGTTCATCCCTGAACTTCATTTTCCAAAGAAGATCATAAAATACGAAAAATGAAGGAAGAAATAACTGATCTAATTTAGCGAGGCATTGTTAGACGTTTGTATGAGTTTCATAAAAGGTTAAGATGTGGCCTACTGCCTTTCTCACTAAAAATAGTGCTAGGATTAAAATAATTGTCCTGTTGTTTGAAGCAGTAGGCCAGAGTAACCCTCATGAATGGCGCAAATGGGCTTGTAAAGGAATCCATGTTTTGGCTGATTAGAGAATTCTTCTTTACGTAAGCATTTTCATGCCTTCTCATTAGCGAATAAAGCACCCAGGAGTCTCAATGCCTTCTGTGCATAAATTGTAATAATTTATTCCCTAACTTCAAAGAGCACTGATCCATCTAGCTCTAAGTCTGATACGTTTAGCTCTAGTTTACTTGATTCTAGGGCGGTTTAGCCCCAGGCCTGAAGACTACTTGTTTGTCTTGTGCCTTTTTCTCCTGTCCCTTTAACTTACTGTAAAGATTACAGCCCGTGGGTCTTAGAAGGGTGGGGGAAGAATGCTGTTTTCAGGTTCCTACTGGGATTTTCCAGATGAGGGGCTACGCCTCCTAGAGCCTCAAGCTCTGCCCCTTCAACGCATTATTTAAACCAGTGGTACCCTGGGCCGGCTGAGTGGCACAATGGTTAAGAACTGGCTTGGGACACCAGAGGGCCCCGGTTTGGATCCCACATATGAGGGCCAGTGACACTGCCCTCCACAGCTAAGATGCTGAGCAACATCTCAATCTGGAGCTTGGCTGCCGTGAGTCGCTGGCGACGGCGTAGGCTGCAGCCCCTGTGGCAGTGGATTGCCATGGGCTACCGTGTGTAGCCAGCAGCCAGCGTGAGCGGCCAGCAGACGCAGTGAACGGCCGTCCAGAAGCCGGCGACTGATCTGCCTTGCCCGGGAGGAGTACAATGATGGTGCCAAATTGGGCCAGTGAAGCAAGGTCCTCCACAACTAGACTGAAGAACAGAACAACAGCAACTTGTCTGTTCCCCTTCCCCCAATTCCCCACCACTGCTCCCATCCCCCAATTCCCCAATAAAAATCTTAAAAAAAAAAAAAAAACAAAAAAACCAGTGGTACCCAACCAGTGGCAATTGTGCTCCCCGGGGGGACGTTTGGCAATGTTGGGAGACATTTATGGTTGTCATGACTGGGAGGAAGTGGTTACTGGCATCTAGTGGGTAGAATCCAGAGGTTTCCGTGCACAGGTCAACCCTCTGCAGCAAAGAATTATCCAGCCCCAAATGTCAATAGCGCCAAGGTTGAGAAATGCTGCTTTACATGAGTATTGATCCTAACAAATTTAATCAAAGAATATTTGTTTATTCAAAATCCAAAAGTGGGACAGAAAAACTTGTCTAAGGGGTATATCTATCTTTATCCAATCACACTGTGACTAGTTTTTCCATGAGGGGCTTAAAACTCTTGGAGAAAAAAAAATGACCAACTATTCAGCAACAAAAATTTATTGATTAATTGGCAACGTTAAGTACAACACACATAGCTTCATCACATGGTTACAATTCAGTGTTTGTGCTTTGTAGTATAAGTAAACATTCATTCAAGCACAACAAAAGTCTACACACAATATTCTGGGATAGTTTATAAAATAAATAAATCCTTTTCCATTCAGTAGCACAAAGAACTTTCAGCTTGAGATGATGGATACATTTTAATATTTGACATTTGATTATCAAATTACCCATATAACCTAAATTTGGATTATTTCTATAATAAATGCCCAATGAGGACTGGATGGGTTCCTGGGGTGGGTGGTGGGAGGGAGGTGTGGCTCATAAGGAAACTTTCTTGACATTTGAAGATGTGGACGACACACAGCCCAGCATTGTTGATGTTGGGCCTTGTTCACATTTAAAATTACTTCCCAACCTTTAAAAATAGTGTTAAAGCATAGTGTTCCAGGAAATCTTTAATAAACATCTTCTTTGGTCAAGAAAATAAAAGCCAGTGCAGCTCATTTAGTTGAAAGGAAAGAAGACTTATTAGGGAGAAGTTAGATCCTTCCATTTTTCAAAAGACTAAATCTCTGTTATTAAAATATGTGAATGAGATAAGGTTTTCTCTTTACCAAATTAAATACAAATATCTTTAAATCAAGGTGAGTCTATGTTCCTAACTGGTTCTGTCAAATCCTGCATCCATCATTATGAATGTCTTCCAAGCAGCAGGTCTGCCATATGGGTCCCAACACAATTATAATGAAATCGTTGAGCTCAAGCGTCAATATGTGACTTAAGACAAAAATCTCTTCATATTTTATAAACCTCTAAACTAGCTTAATATATTATTTAAGATAACAATCTCTTCATAATTTACAATAAAAATAAAATGAAAGTTTATATTTTATATAATTTAATACACAAGCGGATTTTCTCTCAAAAGACAGCTTGCCTTTAGGGTATGAATTCTGTAATCATGTTAACCAAGTAATACAGAGATGGAAACAAGACAGCCTTCGATCTTTCACCCTCTCAACTGAACACCAATAGTTGTCTGCTGAGCTAGAAACCCAGATATTGTTGGGGAGATGTGGAATATTTGTCAGTGGGTTGTAGTGAATACATAAAATCACCGCAGTAGAGGACGCTGATAATACACTTGCATTTCTGTTAATATCCACTGATACCGACCTGAAAGTGGAAATCTTTTATATTAAAATTCCGGAAATTTCTTATCCAAATCTTTAGTGTTCACCTGGGCTAATGGCCCCTTAACCTGCTCAAAAAAGTAGCATAGAGATGGCAGCACAGTCTACAAAACTTTTTTGACCAGTGACTTTGTTTCCAGTTGATTCACATAATTGGAGACATTACATATTTTATATTATTAAAAATATGCAAGAGCATCTTTCCTAGAGTTCGGGCCTAGCTATGAGCTTTTAATTTGAGGCCCATTAAGTGTCTGTTTTCCCAGCCATTCCAATACAAGCTCTTTTGAACTCACCTACCGGATGTATTGACTTGTACAGGTCAATATTTTCTTTTTCCACGGATTTATTCCATGTGCAATAGTCTTGAGCTGCAGGTTGTTTTTATAGCTCTGCTAATGTGATGCAATGTTTTGAGGAAGTTGAGAGCATTTAGAGCAAATCACTGTAATCTAAGCTGGAATACAGGAAAGGAATACTCAACAGGACATAGCTGCTTTATCCCAGTTCCAACAGCCAGTCAAAGAGACTCGGCGTCCCATCTTTCTGCTGCTCATGCATTTTGCAGTACTGAACCACGGCGTGAAAGATATCCCCCACTTTCCAGGACTTCTGATGAACCAGCCGCACGACATCTAGAAACTAAAGGAGAGCACAGAGTTAGGAGTGACATATCACTGAGGATCCTCAGTCATCTCATTGAATCAGCCTTCCAAAGCCAGTGGCTCTCCAGGCTGTTTCTGAATTTCTCTGGTGACATGGTGTCATTTTTCAGGACAGTCTATTTTCTTTCTAGACAGATCAGAGCATCAGTTCTTTCCACTGAGCTGGAATTTTCCTCGCAGCAGTTGCCATTCATTGATTGTGAGAGACTTAATGGAATTCTTTCAAGAGTCTGAAATATCTTTAAGGTATTTGAAGAGTTTCCTCAGCTCTGCTTTTCTCTGGATTGGGCTTTCTCTGACCAGACTGTATTGTGCGGCTCCCAATCCCTTCTATGTGTGTCACAAATAATCTCTCATTTGGATGTGCATATTTAGGCCAAATAAATCAAGTGCTAAGCTTTTGGGTTAGGTCACCAACTGCTTTCTCATTCCATCTTGAAAAGTCCCCTCCCCCATCACCAAAAGAGCTGGCTTTCCATTGTAACAGAAAAAGAAAAAACTGAGGAAACTAACCTAGATTAGTCACTCTGATTATTGCTGCTGGCTTCAGTAGACCACAGTTATTTATCTATTTTTAAAAAGTTATTTATCTATTTTTTTTTCCAGTTACAGTTGATATTCCATATTATTTTATATTAGTTTTAGGCAAACAGCATAATTAATGCAGTGATCTCCCAGTTAATCTAGTACCAACTGGCACCATAGTTAGTTGTGGCAACGTTATTGACTATATGCCCTATACTATGTTTTACATCCCCGTGACTATTTTGTAACTACCAATTTTCTTCCTCTCTTCACCTTTTTTTTAGCCAGCTCCCCAACTCCCCTACCCTCTGGCAACCCTCAGTTTGTTCTCTGTATTTGTGAGTCTGTTCCTTAGAAAGTTTTGACTGCTGGTGAATTGTGAGCTCAGGTGTCAGAAGGCGGGGGAATCATTATAGATCATTCCCTTCAGGAAACTTTGGGGGGAAGCCCAGTGTGAAGGCCTCTCAAACTCCTTAAAGTAACAATTATTAAAGAGCTAACTGTAGGAAATACTTTTGTGCATGTGATCTCATTCAGCTCTGTCAACCCCCTTGTGAAGTAGGCGTTAACAGATGAACCACTGAGGGCCTAAGAGATGAAAAGCTGGTGATAGGATGCATGGTTTCCTAACTCTCCTTAGCCCAGTGCTGTTTCTACCCCAGCACCCTGCTGCCTTTCGGTGGTAGGATGAGTCAGCAGTGATACTTATTTGGATCACAGGAAGAAGAGGACAGGCTGGGAATGTGGTAGTTTTATGACGAACAAAGACCTGTAAAGAAGATGAGGGTTGTGGTTCAGTTACTATTTCTTCAATGTTTCCTTCTAGGATTTTTTGCTGTGCTATTTTTGTGTTTGCTCAGATTTTTAAGATCAGCCAGAAACTGAAATGCTAATTTCTGTCCTTTTTTGCCCTTCTCTCCAGCTTGAATGTGTTAATCCATTTCAATTACCGAGAAGTTGTCTTATAAAGAACTACTATTAAATTACGTTTCTTCTCCCAGCTGTGATGGCACCAATTGTTTGCACAGTTACAGAAATCAGTGCTTTATTGTACTCACTCGGCTTGTGTTGGCTTAATCAGAATACAGCAATTTTCTTGGCTGGAGAATGAAATACTTAACTTTTAATGCATGGAAACATAAACATTGTGTCAAAGAGTTTTAGGATGATGTAAGAAAAAAGACAGATGACAGGCTGATGGCAACTATGTTACAGATTGCAGTCTTCCAGGGAAGGCAGCATCTTAGCCATTTTTAAATATCTTGTACCTGCACCTGATAGGTAGTCAATAAATATTTGCTGAGTGACAGAAGGAATGAAGGACCTAATGTAAGGCAAATGCATTCAAAATGATCAAGAAGAGTATTTGAAATATGGAGTGACATCCAGAATCATTGTGCATAAACATTGTCTAGCCATTCATTCTTGAGGGTTTTTTTTCAATTTTTTAATTTTTTTTTAAACTTTATTTTATTGGAAACAATGTGTGTTTCCAGGACCCATCAACTCCAAGTTGAGTAGTTGTTTCAATCTAGTTGTGGAGGGCGCATCTCAGTGGCCCATGTGGGGATTGAACTGACAACCTTGGCGTTATGAGCACTGCACTCTAACCAACTGAGCTAACCAGCCACCCCTCATTCTTGAGTTTTAAGCAATGTATTTGCACATGTGTGATTAAAGAATAAATGTGTGTATCTTAGGGCTGCCTACTCAATAATGTTCTATTGATAGAATGCACCACAAAAATGGTTGGAAGCTGTGGATCAGGGAAAAGGCTGAACAGAGCCTAGATCTGGCAAGAGCAGTGGGCAGGGAGCAAAATAAAAGCTGGTCATGGGGCATGTCTCGTATTGCACAGTGACCGAGAGTGGACACTGTGGGGTTGGGATAGCCAGGATTTGTTCACTGCTCAGTACAACAGCAACGGAAGGTTAGCTCCGTTCAGCTACATTGATCTCAGTGATAGAATTTCAGGGACTATGAGTTGTCTAGGACTCCTGGCAATCCTCTCTGGCTTCCTGTCTATCAGGTTCCTGAAATTTTAGAGAGCTTAATGCTTTAGGTTAAGGTTTTGGTTAAAATGCAAATACCCTCAGATAAGGGAACATTCCCAGCAGCTATTAGTATTTTATGAAAATGCATAAAAATAATTTCATAAGCTGTTACTTATGTCTTGGTGCTTATAAGTGACCTGAGGCATGTTTTCTATGGGACAGACCAGTAAAAACATGAGGCATCAGAGAAAAGGGGAGAAAGGCTAGGATGTCTTTGCATGATTTAATTAATCAGACTTTTTAAGCTTTTATTGAAAGTCTAGAAAGACAGTGTTCTTGGTGCAGAAGGTTTAAACATCAAGTTTTTGAGGTCCCACTTAGAGAGGCTCATAAGTTGCTTACTTCTCTTCAAGATTTCCCTCAGTAGTCACCAGTGGCCTTAGGCCAGACACATCTCTTGAGGGTGGCTGTCTCCTCTCCCTTAAAATGTCTTATAAAGAGACAGTCAATATAAAGTCCACAGAAATATAAAATTAGCCATAGCTCCTTTCATTTTTCTTTCTGTAAATCCTGGTTCCCAACTTTTATCTCTGAGTCATTGTTCTAAAAGAGAATCACAGCTCAAGGGCAGATGCCAATATTTGCCAAACCCTTCCCAGAAGGCTCTCTGCCTCAGCTCTTTCTTGAAGTCCATCCAATATCACTTCTTTCCCTCTCTCTGGGACCTGCTGAAGCAGAGTCTCCCAATGTGGTGATGACCACAGGATGTCATGACTGGCCCAAAGTTGTCAAAATGCCCCTCCAGGGAGGGCAAGCTGCCAGTAGCTTGTGGAATGGTCACAGGCTAGGATCTGTCTCACGATTTCTAAATCCAGGCCGATATCCCAATAATAAAGCTTTTAAAAATAACCGGGTCCCACTAAATATAGCCTGCTCTGATGGTAGTGATGACGTCATCTCAGACATCGAAACCTTGAAACATCTGTGGGGCTGACAAGCAGGAAGGTTGTCTACTATTTTTTCTTCCTTCATTTACAAATATTTCTAGATTAAAAGGAAGCTAAGATTGTGAAGAAGCCAGAAAAGGACATTCTTAGCTCATGACCATAGCCTTTCAAAATCACATTCCAAACAGTAGCGGGTCCTAGGTCTTTGCCATACCTGCCCAGGCTAGTGCCTTGGTCATTTCATTATCAGCTTTCAATTCATTGAAAAATAAGTCAACAGTTTTCATTGCCTGCCACTTCTGCATCAATAATAATTAGATTCCCTTCATATACTCGTATGTCATAGTTGGCATTTCCTGGAACAAATGTGTTGTACTAAGAATCTATTGGGTTGTTGTAAAAGTCATGACGTATTTTTTTCTCTGTTTTTCACTGCAAAAATGCATCATGACTTTTCCGAGAGCCCAATAGAAGAATTTACATCATGTGATGGTATATCATTGGTAGATTCATTTGAAGAAAAATATCTTTTATATTCTCAGGTGCATTTACTAAATTAGATTAATTGTTTACCAATTATATGGTGGAATCTGTGGGAGCTGTTGCAGACTGTCTGGTTTTGGGGAAACCTTCAAAATAGATTTCTGAAGGCAGCTACCTTCCTTTGCTCCAAGGCAGAATACCATTTCACTAAGCCCAGGTGAGCTGGTCTTTACACTGCTCCTGCAATTGTGGCCTGTGGAGCCTTGGCTTCACCCTGAAACCAGCAGGGAAGGGCCTTTGGAAAACGCCAATGCCTAGGTTTCAACACAAGAGGAGATTCTGATTTAGTTGGCCAGAGCTCGAGGGTCTACAAAAGCTGCCCAGGTGATTCTAGCACACACAGTTTGAGAACCATGACTAAAGGGTTCCGATCAAGACAATGTCTTATGTTTACAAATGAAGAGACTTAGTATGTATATGATGGACTGAATGTTGGGGTACCCTCAGAATTCCTATGTTGAAGCCCTAACCCTGCAGTGTGATAGCATTGGGTGGTGGGGCCTTTGGGAGAAAAATGGGTTCATGAGGATGGGGCTCCCATGGTGGGATTTATGTTCTTAGAAGACAAAGAAGGGAACTCTCTCTCTTTCTGCAATGTGAGGACACATCTGGGGAGAAGGTCCTCACCAGGAACTAAAGCTACTGACATATTGTTCTTGCATTTCCAGCCTCCAGAACTGTGAGAAATAAACATTTGTTGTTTAAGCCACTCAGTCCATGGTATTTTGGCTAAGATGGTATCTAATTCTTCCTTAGTTTTCCTTCTTTTACTTCTTCAAAGCTGAGACTTTAAGGGTTTTTGAAATAGTGAGGTTAACAGTCAATACCACTGATAATTTCTCTTATTCTCCTTCCACCACTTTGCATGTGGAATAGAATAAGGTAATCAGGGCGAGGCTACTTGTTTTCGGACACCCCCTTTCTTCGGAAGGTAATGGGACATCTGTCGCCTCTCTTTCCTCTGTTCTATGCACTGCTTCCAAGAAAAGGGAGGAATTCTCAAGGCAGGCTTAAAATAAGAAAGGCCCCTGGTCTGCTGTGAGGCCACTCATCAGCCCACTTGAGCTCACAGAGGCTCATTGAATTTAAACAGAAGAAAAAGAGCTGGAGAACAATGATGTTTTAGATCCAAAAAGCAGGACAGTTAGCCAATTGGTGACATTTTTTTTTTTAAAAACCAATTGCTTTCATGATTCTTTTTTCTGCCTTGAATTAAGTAGATTAAATTTAACTGATGTCGAGGTCATTGTGAATTAAATTTACAAACTGTTTTAGATCAGGCATTAGGCTTCTCAGCAATCTTTGTCCTGGAATGTAGCATACTTAAAATCCACCTCAAATTCTACTTCTCTTTCAGGATATTTCTTATGGAAGGGGGTCTCAAACTTTACTGTTCATCAGCATCACTGCACTTGAGGGAAGTTACAAAAAAATTAATATTTCTGGGCCTGTTCCTAGCAAGGGCCCTAGGAATATGAATTGCAAATAAATGTCCCAAGTGATTCTGTGTATTTGGCTAATAGTCACAGTCTAAGAAATACCGCTTCAGTGTGTTTCTCATCTCCCTTGTCCAGAGTAATTTCCCATCGTATTTCAAGGTTGCTGTTTACAAACTGAACCTCCCTTGGTTTATATTCTCCCTATCTTGGGTCCTTCCTGAACTAGGATGTAAACTCCAAGAGGGTAGGAAATTTTATCTCTTGTGTTCTCTTTATCCCCAGCACCTAGAAAAGTGCCAGGCATGTTGCACATGCTCAATAAAATGCTTGGTGAATATTCTGAATGCAAATTTTAAGTGAACTTAGCATTTTAATATATGGACAAAACAATGAAAAAGAAAGCTTGAAAATGAAGGCTTTCTTTTTCTGAATATTAGGCACACATAATGTTTGGAGTTTGCCTTTTGAGTTGAACTAGGGCTGGAATTTGATTTAAGCTGATTTTAAGGGCCCTTCAACTCCAAGGTCAATGGTAAAAAAGGTGAGCTGCTTCAGTATACCTTCACGATGTTCTCTGTCCCCTGTCCCGTGGAGCCCATGCCTGCATTTTCACAAGGCAGGGGCATTCATAAGTTGGGAACACCGTAAGGGAGACGTGTTGGCTAAATTAATTTATCCAAAAAAAATTCAGAATTCACACAAATAGAGACTCAGTGTATACATCTGTGAATGGTGTTTAATACTAGAGTGATGGTGGGAAAATGACATTTCTGAACTTGATGGAGATGTTTCTTTAACCTTCTCACAGCTGATGAGGAGTAATGAGACATGACACTCTTGTGTGACATAGCTCCCTGGGTGGGAGGCCACAATCCCTCTTCTACAACTTAAAGTTGGCCACTTAACTACCTAATTCAAAAACAATCAGCATGGAGTCTCCAAATGCACTATTGATAATAGAAGGGATGTCAAAATTTTGCTTATTTAACCAATTTAACCAATGGCTTTATTTAACCAGTTCTGTCACAAACAGTGCATGTTTATGGATTGACCACTATGTGCAGAAAGCCTTAACTGACTCTAAAAGAAAAAAAACAAAACTAGAAGATTTAGTTCTTAAAATTACATTACTTGGAAGTAAGGTTTTTGAGCTGATGCTAAATTGAATAAGTTGAAACATCATTTAATGGTTTTTTCTTTTCTTTTTTTTTTTTTTTTAGCTGAGCCATCCTGCCACCCGTTGGCAGCTCAGCAGCAACTAAGCTTGGACCGGGACTCGAACCGCTGTTGCTCAGAGCTCAAACTCTTGAGCGAGCTCTTAACCAACTGAGCCACTCAGCCGGCCCAGTTTAATGGTTTTTTCTTGGTGACACTGGTAGAACATTTATTTTCTCAGAAAAATAGTTATGAGCAAAGACAGGCATTGTCTTTGAGAACTGAAAAATTAGTGGGGATAAATAAATACCAAATCAGAGTATGATTTACAAAATCAAGGTGTTAATGACACATCCCTTATCCTTTTACCTGATGCGGATTTATGAGACATATATTCACATAGATCATTATGTTGCTTCTTCAAAATGGTGGGTTATATAAAAATCTAGTAAGAGGCCATCTGAAAACTCACTATGTAATGTTCTGAAGATAACATTGGAAAACAACCTGTCTTTCATTTTTCCAGGAATCTTAAGAGTGTACTTTCCCTGGAAAGTTCTTGTTCTATTCCCCAGGGCAAAGAGGGGTCAAATGTGGAGTGCCCTTCACTCCATCCTTTGCACTGGGTGAGCTGGGTGGTAAGATGGAAGGAGGATTTATCAAATAGTGAACCAGTCATGATTCTTCACTCAAAGCAGAGGCTAATCCCTAGATTCAGATGGTGGAGAACGGTAGGCTGTCCCAGGCAGGATGTTGGCCAAGGGTCTATTCCCCAGCTTTGTATTTCTAGAAGGTGGAGAATGCTAATGAGAAAGCTGGCCTCCTGCAAACCTGCTTGGTGGGGAATTAGAAATGCCTTCCCTTTGGAAACATGCCACAAACTGTTTTAAATATCAGTGTGGCCTCATTTTGGTTTCTGGTATATATATCAAGCCTTTCCTTTGACTTTTTATTTAAACTAGTGTTATGAAGAGGTTTGTTTCAGAGCAAGGAAATATATATATATATATATATATATATATATATATATATATATATATATATATATATATATATATAAAACAGAGTCTTTAAAAGAATTCCCATCTCCCCGATTTACTTTCTTGTCCCCAACTAGCTGAGACAAACCGAGGGGCAAAGAAACAGTAACATGACTGTATTTCTGCGGGTGGAAGTTGTCAAAGTTCTAGTCGGAACTTGAAGGTGAAAAGTGAAGAACAAATAATTCAAATTCAAATTCCAATGGGTTCGCTGGGCATTGACTGAGTTTCCAGCACTGATAAAAACACAAGCTTGACTGACATCCACATGGGGACATGATACCTTTTCAATTCTGTTTTCCTGAGATTTCTTAAAGTAGATGGTAGGGATCCCGAGCTCCGAGGCAGCGATCCACTGCAGCATGGCCCGAAGCTCGGCGTCAGGACGCTCCGGCTCCAGGTCAAAGTTGATCACCAGCAGGCTGCCCTGGCGGCTGGCGGCTCCCGCGGGTGCTCCAGAGGCAAATTCTGAACACAGACACAACCACACAGCCTTACGATGCTTTCCACAGGGAGACGCAGACAAATTGTGTGTCAAAGTTATGGGAACGTGGCTTACCCTCCATGTTTTCTGACTGTCCTTTAAGAATCTCCTTTTCTTCTACTAATTCACTTTGGGAGAAAACAACAGTATATGGTTGGTAATATTTAGGAAGGGTAAGCTGTAAATGGAAGATGAGGTGATGGGCTTTATTGATCTAAAAGCTTCTGTATTTATTGATTTCACAGAGTGAAGTACTACTAGGGAAATTCCAAATTGGCTATTCATGTAGGACTATGGGCTTGTCAACAAATATTCTGCCCCTAAAAAAAAAAAGGCCCGATAAACTGCATGGTTTTAGTTGGGATAATTGGTGTGGGAGACGCTGAGAGAAGCTTCCTTCTATTGTTCTTAATCTCCTTCCCATAAACCTTTAGAGGTTTGAACATTCAAGGAGAGGTTATGTAGGTAACTAGTTCTCATTTGAGGATTTATCCTTCCTCTGTATTTTACTCTTCATTTAAAGAATCATATGTTTCCATTTTGACACAATGATTTTTCTTCTCTATACTATGATAGCAACATAAATTTGCATTTTAGCCTAGGACAATCTTTTTTCTACCTATGTATGGTTCTTTGATCTGAAGTAAGGAAAAGATAATCAGTGAACTGCAGAACTTAAATTGTACCACAATCTCAGTTAGTTGAAATTTTTCTTTTTCTTTCCTTTTATCAGGAGGATGTAGTAGGCTGGAGGTGGTTTAGACGTAGAGACTCATAACTGATGTGAATATTTCATTAGGTTTGGTAATGTTCAATGTCTGAGGTGTTTTCATATGGTGGGTACTTATTAGGGAGCCTTGAATATAGTGGGAGAACTCAGCAAAAGCTTTCAAAAGGAGAACATATGTCCCAACAGCTGAAAGGAAGTGACCATTTGGGGACGCCTGTGGTTGTCCTATATTTTTGTCCTGTCTAAAAATTAAAGTACAGGGGCTCTTAAAAAATGTGTATTATTACGAGAGGAGATTCTCCCTTATAGTTTACGTTACTGCTAAGATCTCCCTTATATTTTATGTTACTGTTATTAGGAATACAATGGAATTTATTCTTTCAGGGAGTGTAGTTCTTTCTCCACACATACCTAATAATTATATTGAAGAACAGAAACTTTCCTAAGGGTCTCTGTTTTCTGTTAGATCTCTATGCGAGTGGCATAAGTGAAATGGCACGTGGTAGGTACAGTTTCTGCTATTATATTGCTGTCCAATCATGCTATGGTCTGTGGTATTGGTTTCCCCTGAATGCATATCATCTGTGGGGTCCTAGGCTCATACCATGGAGGCTTTCTCCATGGAGAAAGATGGAAAAAGTAGCTACACAAATGTTTCCTGAAGGAAAAAAAGGAATTTTTCTCAAAGTAGTTTTTCTATGTGTTTTGTTTTTTTTGGTCCTCCTTTTAAAAACCAAAATATCACCCCCCCGTTCCCCCAAAATAATGTGTGTGTGTGTGTATCTCTACTTGTGAATAACAACCTGTGCAGCAGGAAAGGGTTCCTGGCTACCTCCAGTCACTAAGGAGTGCTCCCACAGGCACGGCACCTGATCACATAGGAAGCAGAAATGCTTTAGCTATAGAGAGTAATTGAGGAAGTAGGTCAGGGAGCCAATTTTTCTTAGACTTCACTTTCATTTTTCTGAAATTTTAGAAATCTCCAAATAACCAGCTAAGTCATAGGTCAAAAAATAGATTCATTTAATTTTCCAGAAGAATCACAATTTCTAGATGCAGTCCTGACCTCGTGTTGCTCTCCCTTTCTACGCCATATTTCATGTCATACCTGTAGTGCTTTTCTAAGTGCCTTTTCCCCTTGCTCTTTTAAAAGGACCTCATTGTGTAGGGAGCAGAGTTAGTGTGGGAATGACATCCGTCTATCATGGCACCATTGGTGTTCGACACACTTAGTAGTGATGATTCCAGGTTGTTACAAGCAAAGGAAACGCCATTCACACTATAATCTGTTGGACAATGGTCTTCGCTGGCTGGCAGGGTCTGATGTAAGTGGATTTTTGTTTCTCTGTGTCCAACTGGGTAAAATGATGTATATTTCTAATTACGGGATGCGCTTTATCTGAAATGACTGCATTGTAGGGGTCAGATTTGAAATCCAGAAAGCAGGCGGTGGCAGGCGGGGGCTGTCCTAGGCTGAGTCCTTGCTCCAGGGACATGGAACCACACATGCCGGGGGAACCATGGCCGTACAGACATGATGAGATCAGCGGTTGGGCATTGGATGATCACAATGGATTGCCCGATGGGATTGGAGGGCCAGTCTCACAACACTGCACCTCAGTGACTACTTACTGAATCATGGGAGAAGGTGGCATGCTTTCCTGATAAATGTCCAGATCCATAATGCCAAGACTGCTAGTGGCACTACTGTTGCCATTGCTGACAAAGCAAAAGTTTACATATTAATGCCAGTCTCCACCACCTGGCCACACTGCTGACACTGACAGTCCACTGTGCTCAGGGGTCCTTCCCTTAGCCCCGGGAAGAATATTGCTTTGTGTCTAGGACTCCTCAATTGATATTTATTTCTTATCAAATTAGGGGAAAACATAACAAAAGACATTTTTGGCTCAAGCCAATCATCATCATCATCATTATCATCATCAATGTTTTCTAATTTTTGCAGCGGTGTCACACTTGATAGATCACACCTAGTGGGTGACAATCAGCATGACTTCTTTTTTTCACATTCTGGTTACAGTGAGGATGTTTATCTATCAGCAAAAGACTCCTTGGGTTATACCCACAGAAACCAAGGTGCTTCTGAGAATGAGATACTGGGATGCTTATCTACCTGCTTTTGACAGAAACCAGTGAGTAGATGCATGTTTTCCCTTTGCCATTCAGGGGGTTTTTCTGAGAGACAGTCCATAGGCTATGCACCTGGCTTGTTTCCTTATGGAACTACAGAATTCACAGGTACAAAGTTAGGGAATGCCCAAATGTTATACCTCCTTTATCTTAAAATCTTTGAGAAGGAGAAACATCTGCTACCTTATGTATCATGGAGATTGCACAATCAACTTACGGTCTAGTTACCAGCTTGAAACTCATTTATTGAAATACTGTAGAGTTGAGCTAATTGTTAGGCTCTGTCTGTACTTGCAGAATGGAATGCATCCAACTTCACCAAACCCACTGAGTTTCCTAACACTTTCTCTGTGTTCCAATGATGTCTCTTCCAAGTAGGTTTCCAAAGGGTGAAAGCTGATGTGTCGTAAGAGACAGTCTTCCCTCGGGAGTACTGTGAGTAACCAACCAACTAGCTCCCTCCATTTCAAATTCCTGTCTTGGATTTCGTGTCTGCTACTGAATACAAGTAGAGTCACTGATTGAAATCTGATGACTTTACATTGCACTAGAGCTAGTTAACCCTAGAAACATCTGCTACATCCAAAGATTCAAATTTTCTTTGCCCTTTTTCTCTGCGTTGTAACATTTCTCATTAGTTTTTGAAATTGTAGGCAAGTTGTTCAACATTGTGAAACTTTCCTAAGTCTGAGCGGACTGAACTGCCAGAAACAAAATTTTCAAGGAGCCACGTGCCTGGATGCATCCGACTCCCATCTGTCAACAGGCCTCTCTGGGAAGTCTGCGGCCTTGTTGGTCTCGTGTCAAATAAGACTTGGGGCAGAAATGTGGAGATTCTTTTCATTTTTACCTCACAGAGGGACGGTTTTTAGTTCACATCTCCTGACTGGCTGGGGTCCAGTCAAATCTGACTTCCCGTTAACGCCTCTCTAGCTTTTCTAGAGCAACAATACAGAGAGCAGGGGAGAGAAACAGTCAGGCCAAACAACACAACACAGTGTGGAAACACTTGCCTCATGTAAACCCAGCCTGGGTTGCATCTGAAATACAAATGAGCCAGAAAGTATCAAACAGACCAGGTGTAATAGCAGCTCATATTTAAAAAGTCACAGTTGTCATCATGGAATGCATTAGCTGGGGCTTGCAGAGAAGGGAACATAGCTGACTTTTAACCTTGGCCAAGGTAACCAAAGCCACAATTGGCTATTAAGGTACCTCTCAGCACAAACCGGGACAAGCAGGCACCTTGACCTCGTGGGAGCTTTCCTGTTTTGCACTTGCTAATAGGGACCCTTTGCAGAGAACCATTTACAATGCATTTCTGGTTCACGCGTTGAGACCTGTTTTCCTGGGAGGACAAGTGAAGAGCAGGTACCTCATGGATCGCTCACTGAGCTGCAGAAAGCTACTGGTGTCATCTGGGTTGTCTTCCTCATTGGCGAGCTGGGACCAGCTGTCTGTGCTCTCCCCACTGCTGCCGGGAGGGTTGGGGACCTCCTCAATGGCTCTGCCTTCTGTCGAGACCTCAGCCTCTGGTATGTCTCTGGCCTCAAGGCTGTTGCTGTAGATGGTAACATGTTATTACCGAGAGTGGAAGAACAAAACTGAAGGTGTCACGGGGACCTTGCTGGCTGCTCTAGTGAGCATGAATCACAGCCAGAGTGGGCGGGAGGTCCTAGACCCAGGTGGAGTCTGTCTTTCAGGCTAATACTTCAGCTCGCGCCCTAGGTCCCATTTTGCCTTTTCAGCCTTACTCTCCATCCGTTTTCCCATCTCTTCATTTGCTCTCTTTCTGCGGACTCCCTCTATTTATCTCAAAAATACATTGAAGCACCCTGGCCTGCGTATGTAAGAATTATTGAGGGGCAGTGGCATTTGAAGATACCGAGAGCAGCCATCCCAGAGATGAGGATTCAGCGGTTCTGCAGGGAGGCCCAGAAACTGGCATTTTTAAACAGCTGCCCCACGTGATTCTAATGCAAGCGGTACGTGGGCCATGCTGGGGAAAAAAGGCCCACCCCAGTCCTGGTGGTTTCGCCTAGAGATGCCTCGAAACAGACTTTGCACTTGCAGACACCTTTTTACACCATTTTCTCCCTTTGGAACTGCTGATTTATACCAGCGCCCCTTTTCTGGGTTAGTGCTGTCTAGAGCATTTAACCCTTGATCGGACAGGCTTTTCTCCTTCAAACCTTTCCTCCCTGGCCTCCCCTGAATTTCTGCCTCTCTGGACACTTTAGCCTGGAACTTGGTTCTCTGTTTTCCCTGTGACAGCTCTGCTACAGCCAGCTCTGACTGTTCACGGCCCTCCTCCTTTCCAGGCTGTCTCTAAGCAACCTCGTCTCCTCTCCTGCCTATTGAAATCGCTTCCAAGTTTGAACTCCAGCCAGGGCCTCTCGTCTTGATTCTGGGGCTCTTTTGTCAGCTGGTCTTCTGAACATATTCAATCTGTCTCATTACCATCTCAAAATCAGTGTATCTAGAACAAATTCCAATTGCCCTCCCATCCCCTTTCTGTGTTTCTTATTTTCGTTGATTTTTCTGAGTGTCTGGGCTTAAAATCTTGCAGTCTTCTGACTTCTCTTTCTTGCCCTTTACGTGCAATTATTTGCTGTGTTCTTTCAGTTTCAGCTCTAAAGTATCTCACACATACTTATCTCTGTCTCTACGGGCATGAAGTTACCTTAATTTAGGTCTTCCTAAATTGCTAGAATTTTACATGTGGAAGGAACCTCAAAAGTTTCCTGTAGATTAGGATTTATCCAAGATGCAATGAGGCTTGGTACCAGATGTTAGACCTCGAGTTTTGAGACTCGTGGGCATTTCACCACCGCTGTTCCTTGGCTGGACAATACGGTATCAGCCTCCTAACAGTTGGGCCCCAACTGTTCCTCCTCTCTCGAAACCTTCTTCACACTGCCAGATTAATGTCCCTAAGGCACATCTTTGACCATTTTTTGTCAAAAACCTCCAAGGGCTCCCTGAAGCTAGCCTCTGTCCTTCACGGCCTTCCCCGCCTGTCCAGTTTTGTCTGCCTCCATTCTTGTCATTACTCAGTCAACAAAGCCATCTGCTGTTTCTCCAACGGGCTAGGGATTTCCTGCCGCTTTGTCTTGCGCAGTTGCTTCCTCTTACCAAATGCTGGTCAGAGACCAGGCCACTTGGAGCCCTGCTCCCACTCTCCAGCCTATAGATTCCAGGTCTACCCAGCTGTCACCTATCCAACTTGGACAAGCCGATAAACCTCTCCAAGGAAAATAATACCCATCTCCCAAGGGGGTTTGGAAGATACAAATTAGAAAATAAAGATCATTTAATGCATGTAACTTGGTCCCTAACATTCCAGAATTATGAAAGGTGTGTATTGAGGTGTGGCTGTTTCTAGCGTGATGTGCTGCCAACATTGGTGACAGGAGATCCTTAATAAGCTTGACTTTCCTTTCAAAAATATTGATATTCTTCCAAATTGAGGAGGAAGAAAGGAAAAGAATGGATGCAGCCAAAGAAACCTTAATGAATTTAGTTAAGTTCAAATGAAAGAAACGTTCATTGATGACAGATGGACACAATATACGTACTTCTAGATAAAGTGGAAATAAGCCAAGTACTGAACACAAAGGAAAGGGCTCCAAAACCATTTGTTTAGTTAAAAATTAATTTTCTGGACTAATTTCTTACTGAATTAGGAATTTATATCATTAGAACATTTATTCCAGTGTATTTCTTACTCAAGCAGAAGTTACATCTCAGTGATTGACAGTGAGCACCCAGGTTAAAAATGAACCTGTCAGTATATTGTATTTTATCTCAATTTCATGCTCTATTTACACTAAATCTCATATTCCATGCACCATAACTGGGGAATTCAGAATGAATAGTGATAATCACAAGCACTAGTTCTCTTTTTCTTTAGAAATGTATAGCTTTGCATGTTTATTTATGAATAATGCAGAGATGTGTTATGCAGATGTATGTACATGGCTTTTTTTCCTCTTCTGATCTTACAGTTCACACAGAGCTTTCAAAGGCCACGTTTGATAAGATATCAGATGAAACTAGAATTTCTGAGTTGGCAGGGACCCCAGTGATCATTAGCTCAGTGTTCCCCTGACTTCATTTATTGGAAAACCACTGCCATGAGTTTTGCCAGATCTGCATTCCTCCTATATTATAAGAAAAAAAAACACTTCTTTAAATCAGTTTACTTTATATAACCTAAATATGTTTATTGGGAAAAGAAATTGAGTCATTACTGTAAATGGAAAAAAGGAATCACTTGTCATAGGTAGGAGGTAACAATAACAATAAATACATAATAGAGTAAAAGCCTTCTTTCCAGTAGATCATGCAGTAGTTTATTTACTGTAAAAAGTTTACTGAAGGGGGAAATCATGACGATGAAACTTGACACATTTAAGATATTTTAGTTCAACTTTAAATGCATAAACATGTACTTATTCACCAAACTTTAGACTAAAAAATCATTTTGGTTTCCTCGATTTTCTCTATTCTATTTTTGTAATCATAGATTTCTGCTCTCATTTTTATTATTTTCTTCCTCATGTTATTTTGGGTTTAATTTGATCACCATTTTTTTTTTTAGCTTCTTAAGGTGGAAGTTTAGATCATTGATGTTAGATCATTTTCCTTTTTTTAAATAGAAACATTTAAAGGTATTAATTTCTTTCCCCAAGTGCTGCTTTAGTTATATCCCACACATTTTGATATGTGTGTTTTCATTTTTGTTCAAGTCATAAGTTATTCTAAATTCCCTTGTGGCTTATTGTTTAACCATTGGATAATTTAGAAGTATGTTGTTGATTTCTAAAGATTTTTGGGGATTTTCCAGACATCTTTTTGTTATTAATTTTCAGTATAATTCCATGGTGATCAGAGAACATACTCTATAGGATTTCAATTTTTTAAAAGCTTTTTATTAAAAATATTGCTAACATACAATATTATATTAGTTTCAGGGTTACACCATAGTTTTCAACATTTAAGACCTAAAGAAGTGGTCACCATGATAAGTCCAGCAACCATCTGACACTGTACCACGCTCTCACAATATTATTGACTATAGTCCTTATGCTGTACATTACATCCCCATGACTTGTTTTATACCTGGAAATTTGGACTTCTTATTCCCCTTCACATTTTCCCCCCTTTTAAAAATTTTCAATTACAGTTGAAATTTAATATTATTTTATATTAATATAGGCATATACCATAGTGGTTAGACATTTGTATAATTTAAGAAGTGATCCCTCTGACTAGTCTAGTACCCACCTGGCACTATACACAGTTATTTCCATATTATCGACTATATTCCCTGTGCTTTACTTTATATCCCATGACTATTTTGTAACTATCACTTTTACTTCTTAATCCCTTCACCTTTTACACTCTGTCCCCCAACTCCCATCCCAGTTATCATCCTGATAAGTCTGGTACCCATTTAACACCATGCATAGTTATTACAATATTATTGACGATATTCCTTATGCTGTACCCTACATCCTCATAACTAGTTTGTAACAACCAACTTGTACTTCTTAATCTCTTCCCACTTTTTTCACCTGTACCCCCAAACCCCCTCCCCCTGGCAACCATCAAAGTGTTTTCTGTATCTATGAGTTTGTTTCTGTCTTGTTTGTTTATTTTGTTCTTTAGATTCCATATATGAGCAAAATCACATTGCTTCTGTCTTTCTCTGTCTGAACTCCACTCAGCACAATACCCTCCAGGTCCAACCATTCCACCACAGATGGCGAGAACCCATTCCCTTCTGTGACTGAACAATATTCCATTGTATACAAGGCACCACCTCTTTATCCATTCTTCCATCAACAGACACCCAGGCTGCCTCCACATCTTGGCCACTGTAAACAATGCTGCAATGAACACATGGATGCATACGTCCCCTCTAAGTAGTGTTTTGGATTTCTTTGGATAAATACCCAAAAGTGGGATTACTAGGTTCTTCTTTGTCTCTTGTTAGAGACTTTGTTTTAAAGTCTATTTTTTCTGGTATAAGTATTGCTACCTCAGCTTTTTTTTTCTTTCTTTTTTTTCTTCCCATTTTCATGAAATAAGTTTTTCCATCCCTTTACTTTCCGTCTGTGTGTGTGTGTCAATCTGAGGTGTTTTTCTTGTAGGCAGTATATGTAAGGGTTTTGTTTTCTCATCCATTCAGCCCTCCTATGTCTTTTGATTGGAGCATTTAATCCATTTACATTGAAAGTAATTGTTGATTGATATGTAGCCATTGCCATTTTATTATTCATATTCTTGATTTTAAAATTTCTTTTTTTTATCTTAAAGAAGTCCCTCTAACATTCCTTGTAACAGTGGTGGTGAGAAAATCCTTTAGTTTTTTCTTGTCTGGGAAGCTCTTTACCTGTCCCTCGATTTTAAATGATAGCTTTGCTGGGTACAGTACCCTTGGCTGCAGGTCCTTGCTTTTTGTCATGTTGAATATTTTGTACCAAACTTTTGCGGCCTGCAAAGTTTCTGTTGAGAAATCAGCTGACAATCTTATGGGGGCTTTCTTATAAGTTA